AAACTAACTACTACACCCTTCCCCCGTTCTGCTCCCCGCGTATCCATATCACCCCAAATAAAGTTTATGTCTTTTCCTTTCGCTTATCCGTCTTGCAAATTAGTTACATGACTATTCTCAAAACATGACGAGTAGGTAGGAGGCTGTACTGATGATTCTCACTCCAACTAGCATGCATAGTTCGGTCTGTGTATACAACTAAGGGATGAAACATATAGTGCATCATAAAATTTCTTCATACACGTGACATTCAGGTGAAATCCTTCTATTCTTCTATTTCAATACAATGCAAACTGCATGAACAAATACCAAAAAAAAAAAGCAGCGATTAAATTTCAAAAACTTTCCGAACCCAGCGCGAAATCTCCAAAAACGTATAAAATTCAACTAAGCGCGGCTAAAAATTCGCATAACCGCAAATTTTCGGAGTTTCATGAGATGCCAAGTAATATTAAGTAAATTTGAGGAAACAAACTAAGCACGGAGGAGGACAGTTGTTAGAGCAGGAGCAGCAGCAGCGAAGCAGCGACGTCGAGAACACGGAACAGCGCCTTGACGGCTCAGCAGCAGCAGCAACGTACCGGATCGAGCAAGCGTGAACGTCAGCAAGCCCGCCAGCACTCCTTACCATCTTAAACAAAAACTGTACAACGTGCACAAACAATCCGGTAGCAACGCAGCGAACCCGCAACGCAACACGCAACGCACCCCCACCAACAACAAAATTTCCCCACAGGACCATCTGCAACCAGCACATCCCAGACACCGCAACTGCTAAAACTCGACACGGCTCGGCTCGGCTGGCATCATACATGAACTGTGAACGATTTTTTTCAGGTGTCCTTATTCCACTATGGCAAAGAACACCACAGATGGGATAGTAATGCGGGGGGAGGGATGTCATGTGTGGGTACCGGGGGCGGGAACTGGACGTACGAGAAGGAAGTTGATTGGGTGGATTGAGCGGTTACGTGGCGTGGATCCTTTGGCGATTGCGTAGGCCATGTATGAGAGATGGAAAGGCTGATGGGTAGGAAGGAAGTGTGCTTCTGGTTTTTGTCGCGGATATCCGGGGTAGGGAAAGTGCTGAAGAACCGCTTGCTTCCACAGTACTCCTGTAGTGAGGATGGAGGTAATCTCTGACGTTGCTTTGGGCAGACCGAAGAAAGGGAACGAGGACACAAATCAGGGACTTGAGGCAAAAACTGATGACAGCAGTAAAGAGGCAAACTGCCAAACAGCACCGCGAAATATCGTTAGCAAAGAAGCTAGAGTAACGGTCAAACGTTCGCAGATCATGTATAATGACGGCCAAACCGAGTTTTAGCAGTTGCCCAACACAGTCTTCCTTCCCTCCCCCC